ATACGCAGTAACGGTGGCCAAGGCAAATGGAAAGATATATCATTGCGTTAATTAACTAGTGTGTTTAATTCATTTTTCTGATCGCATTTAATTTATCGCTCGTACGAACGTCCCAATCACGCTGAAACACGCTATGTACAAGCCTACACGCGGCCGCCACATGCACTTATGAATAAATGTAATGTATTATTATACGCACATTATTTTAATATATATTGTTATTTATAATTATTAATTTACTAGCGGACACCCGGCGTTGTTCGGCGAAATAAATCGCCTCAGTTGGTGACCACTTGTTTAAAGAAAAAAAATACCCAAAAATATAGTTTTTCTAATTTCTATTCTATCCTATCCATTCCATCCATCCATTCCGTCCGCTCGGGTCCAAATCGGTCCGTCCGCGTTATTACCTCCGCCAAGGGGTTTAGCAGCGAGGTTGTTTTCACCGGCAGTGTGTTTGTTTCGGGCGTGCGGTTGTTGTTTGGGTTTTGGTTTGTGTGCGTTTGTTTGTGTACACTCCTAACTTGAAAAAGTTATGGAACGGATTGTCATAAAGTTTTCAGGCATAGGTCCAGGAAATGGGCTAACTTAGAATTGAAAGATTTTGCGGTTGCGTGATTCGGATCATTAATTAAATAATTAAAATAATTTTCAGGATAGGTCAGGAATGGGCAGTAACTATATAATATGATTACTTTTCGTAGTCTCCTGGATTCAAATAATTTATTAATTAATTAATTAATACAATTTTTCACAGTGATAGAATTCAAGCTGCCTTGGCGGAGGTCTGCGCCTCTCGAGTGCCTCTAGTATTTTATTATTGTTGCCCTCCAGGGGCGCGTTTACTTTGAATGTTGGTCCAGGGCGCGGTTTATTTAATGTTGCTCCAGGGGCGCTGTTTATTTAATGCTGCTGCAGGGCGGCACCGTTTATTTAAGTTTGCTCCAGGGGCCCGTTTATCTTAATTGTTGCTCCAGAGGCGCGTTTATTTAATGCTGCTGCATGGGGCCAGTAAATTTTTTCCGTTTTTGGCTTTGATGCACCTCGGAGCAGTCAATCCAATGTGCCCGTGGCATTTAGCACCAAATGTACCCCTTATACTGAACGTCTTTAATTTTTTTTTAATTTTGAAATTAAACCGCAGGCCGGCTGAGTACTGGCCGTTGATAGCAGAAGTTACACCTACTAAACTTAAACAGTCAAAAAGTAAAGAAAAAATATATTTCGCCCACGGTGGACTCGAACCCAGAATCCGCTAGGCCTGGCGTAGTTCTTCTAGTTATAAGAGTCAGACAAACTCACACAACCTTATATATATAGCTTTATTAAGTTATTTTTATTTTTTTATTTAATTTAATTATTATATATAAGATAATATCAGTATTTAATATCACATTATTCATATTATTCAAATCAGTCACGCTCCATTCTGAACGACCATTCTCACACTATACCTTTTTCGAATGATATAGGTGGCGCGTTGCTGTCGCCTGGAGCTTTCCTCCGTCGTCGCGACCCGTTGCCGGACACGATCGCAACGAAACTCATCGAACGCCCGACTCGGCGTGGTTGCAGCACGTGTGCCGCTAGCGCCCCCCCTCGTCACCAAGTCAACGTACGTGCGCCGGCAGACGACTCATGGCGCACCGGGTCTTCTTGGTCAGATGGTAGACGCGCGGGAAACGGGCAAGCCGACTGTTAGCCATCTCGACTTTTGACGGTCACCGCGGTAGGAGATGCGTAGCGCCCGGCAGCACCGTAGGAGTGCTGGTACGCCGAGCGAAAGGCGTATGCGCGCAGAGCGTGATGGCGGCCCAGGCGCGGCCGCGCGCTGGCAGCGACGCCGCGAACCGCACGGTGCTTCACGCCGCCAGTGTGCCGTCGCTGCCTGCTCTGTGAGGAACGCCCGTTCACCGAAATATTTCTCGCCCCGACCGTCATCGTCATCGTTCGTTGTCGTCGCCGCCCGATTGCGAGCATTGACGTACACGGGCTCTCGCAATGTGCGGGCGGTAGAAAGACGAGCTCGCTAGCAGATCGAAATTAGTATTCCGGGCCGAAATGAGTGTCGCTTCCGGGCCCCGAGACACGTGTCTTCCAGCCGCGAAATGACGTTGTCTATCCGGCGCGCCAAAATGGACGCTGTCTTCCGGCCCCGAGCATCACCGTGTCTTTGGGGGCAATATGTCGTGATGCCGCATAGCTGATCAACACGCAAGGCCGCTTCTCACGACCCGCACACAGGCGCGTGTGTTACACGCTCTCCACACGTCGGCCCGTCCATCGCACGAGGCGGTCTGCTACCACACCCAACAGCCACGATGACGGCGCATGCGCAGACGCTGGCTCTGCCCGACGTCGTCACAGCACGCGCTATGCGCACCTCCCGCCACCCATTTGTTAATCAGAAAAAAGCATGATGTGGGCATTTAGACTTGCACCGGCGCATTCCTACCGCGGTTCGCGGTTCTTTTGCATAGTGCCACGTGTATGGCAGACGAGGGGGACACAAATGGTATTAGTAACAGTCACAATTCGAGATTAATGTCATTTCATAATTCTATTTAGTGACTGTCATATATTTCCAATTTCAGTGACAGTCATTAAATCAACCAATCAGAACAAACTTAAATTTTTTCTCAGCAATCATAGGAGGAATTATGACAAACAGTAAATAAATGATTTTAGTGATAGACACTAAATCGATTTAGTGACAGTCACTAAATACCATCGGCCTTTTGGGTTCCCAACCTCGCCTGCCATACACTGTGATATATGGATGTAGTTGTTGTATGTAGGTGTGCTGTGTGGTGTGTGGTGACGCTATTTGTGTGTGTGTGTGATACTGTGCGTTGGTCGCGTGTCGTGTGTGTCATGTGCTCGAATATGCGATCGCGTGTGTACGTGCTCGGTACGGTGCGCTGCGTGTGTTCGTGTGTGTTGTACGTGCGTGTGTGTTGTGGCGTCCGGTGTGTGCGCGCGGTTCGTGTGTGCTGGGTAGTAGGTGGCGCTGTTGTGTGTCGTGTGTTGCGCTCTACGTGGTTGCGGATGGGTCAGTGTGCGCCGTGCGTGCGTGCGTACGAGTTTGTGCGTTGAGCAGTGCGTGTGTGGTGTGTATCATTTCTAATTTACATTTATCTTCTCCTTTCATTGAATTAAAATAACGACACACGTAGCGTCATATATATCATATCCATTACTTCGGACATAAAATGACTATATAATATATATATATTATATATAGCGGTCAATGGCTAGTCTACGAGAGTATACTAACGGGTAGGGATTCCACCGCTTGTTCAAATAACCCGCGTCCTAAAGTGTTCAGCGCTATAACGGGTAGGGAGTTGGTCACGCTGGTCGTAGCCACGTGACCATTGTGCGGTATACTAGGTGGCGGTATAACAGTAAGCCTTCCGCGACTTGTTCCACCGTTGCCACTAACTTCGTCTCTAGAAAAGGCCTTTTTTGCGGCATTTTTTTCGCCGAAATTCCGGACACTAGAGCTGCACATAATTAGCCCATTATGCACGCAAGGTGGCATGCTCCGTGGACGTCGTGAAAGCATTACGAAAGTAAAATTACTTCTTGTTGTGTATTTCGTTGACCATTCCACGTCAGGTGGGGTAGTCACAGCGGACCGGTTGGTAAATTTTTTTTGCTGTATGAAATTATGTTCAGACAACTCTTGCCAGAATATTCGACATCCATAGAGCTGGCCCGAAAGTTTCGGAGGGAGGCATAGAGCATGAATCCTGTTAGTTATTTAACATGAATAAAGTGCTATGTTTCTGTAAGTGCAGTAACAGTGTGAGTATTTTTAATTAATTACTGTTCCGATGCTTATTCAGGCCGCAGCCTATGGACGCCCTCTACTGTTGGTTCAACACCTTAAAGCCACCTACGCGTAAGAAGTGCGCTTCTCTGCCGAGGAAGTCGATTAATGAGTTCTCATGTTCAATGAAAATACTGTTATGCAAGTGCTCTTAGCATGATTTTTCTAAGTCACATGCAGTGTTCAATAATAACATGATATTATTACCATGTTTTTTCATTGTAAACAATGTACACTATCCGTTAACATATTTACATGTATTTACATAAATACACTAATTTTACACAACATTTAGCGTGTCAAAAAAATACGATAATTATCTTCGTTTTACCTTATTCTGTTGGGGCACTCTAACCCTAACGGTGTCAAGAATATCTGACTTTACATGCTTTGCCAATTATTACCCTAACCCTCTTCTAACACTTACGCATAACCGCCATGAACGCGAAAATTTAACTTTTCATTGATTTCTGTGCTTTTGGGGCACCTTTGAATTCAGGCTACCGTATAAGGAAAAGACGGTCGAATCATTCATCTAAACATTTCAAGCCTCGATCCGTATCTCTGCCTGCTCCTTTAAGGTGTCGATATAACAGTAAGCCTTTCGCGCAAATTGTTCACCGTTGCACTACTTCGTCTTCTAGAAAAGGCCTTTTTTTGACATTTTTTCGCCGAAATTCAGGCACTAGAGTGCAATTTAATTCAGCATTATGCACGCAGGTGGCATGCCTCGCTGACCGTCGAGGAAAGCATTAGAAAGTAAAATTATTTCTTGTTGTGTATTCGTGACATTCCGTCAGGTGGCGTAGTCACAGCGACCGGTTGGTGTTTTTGTGTATGAAATGTGTTTCAGACAACTTGCAGACAATCGCATCAATAGAGCTGGCCAAAAGTTCGAGGGGAGCATAGAGCATGAATCTGTAGTTATTTTAAACATGCAATAAAGTGTATGTTTTGTAAGCTGCAGTAACAGTGTGAGTATTTCTTAATTAATTACTGTTCGATGCTTATTCAGGCTGCAGCCTATGGACGCCCTCTACTGTTGTTCAACCCCTTAAAGCACAGCCTGGATCTAAGAAGTTTGCGCTTCTGCCGAGAAGTCGATTAATTGAGTTTATTTAATGAAAACTCTGTTATGCAAGTGCTCTGCATTGATTTTTTAGTCACATGCATGTTACAAATCAAATTTATACAGTGTATTTTAACTGTAACAATGTACATATCCGCTGTACATATTTACATGGATATTTACATAAAATACACTAATTTTACACACATTTGGTGTCAAAAAATAGATAATTATCTTTCTTTTTCTCTATTGCTTGGCACTACTAACGCCTAACAGTGTCAAAATATCTGAACTTTAATGCTTGCAATTTACCCTAACCCTCGTTCTAACACTCACGGCATAACCGCATGAAGCCGAACATTAATTTTCATTGAATTTCTGTGTTTGGGGCCACCTTTGAAATTCGGTACCCGTATAGGAAAAGGGGTCGAAATTCATTCATCTAATTTCAAGTCGATCACGTATCTCTGCCCTAGCTCCTTTAAGGTGGCGTATAACAGTAAGCCTTCGCCGCATTGTTCACGGTTGCATCTACTTCGTCTCTTTAGCAAAGGAGCCCATTATTTGCGGCATTTTTTTCGCCCGAAATTCGGCACTAGAGCTGCATTAATTAGACATTATGCACGACAAGGTGGATGCGCTCGTGGACGCTCGAGACAAGCATTAGAAGTAAAATTATTCTTGTTGTGTATATCGTGACATTCCGTCAGGTGGCTGTAGTCACAGCGACGGTTTGGTGTTTTTTTGTGTATGAATTCGTTACAGACAACTTTGCCAGAAATTCGCATCATAGAGCTGCCAACAAAGTTTCGAGAGGGAGCATAGAGCATGAATCTGTAGTTATTTTTAAATAGAATAAAGTGTTATATGTTTTGTAAGTGCAGTAACAGTGGGAGTATTTTTAATTAATTTCTGTTCGATGCTTATTCAGGCCTGCAGCCTATGGACGGCCTCTACTGTTGTTCAACACCTATAAGCTGCGGCTCCTCACAGTAAGGGGTGCACTGGCGTCTCTCGCCAGCTGCTCCATGGTAAACAACGCAAGGCTTATCAACGAGTGGTGAGATATACGATCACGTTTTTATTCCCCGACTCACCCTCTGCCTGGTGCTTGCTGACGGCTTGACCGTCCTTGCACCTAGACACGTTGAGTTCTCGGGCCGTAGTGCTTGTTACTGTATATGCTGTGTTCATTGTTTCTGGGTATTCAGCCCAAGTTTGTGTGATGTTCGTAGCTACCGGCCTGTCGGTCGGTATGCTGATAAAAGCACCGGCGTTGAACACTCAACTTGGTAGTGTTGTCTCCGTTAGTGCTCGTGTCCGCGTGTGGATCTATAGTCAAACCTGTGGCGCACATTGAGGCCGTGACTGGCTCAAACGTTACATATATATATATATATATATATATATATATATATATATATATATATATTACTCGTAGCCTTCCAGCCTGTGTTCAATCATTGTGTCGCTTCATGAACAAAGCAGTTACTAAAACAGTACTAGGGCGTACTGTACTGCATTGTACGCGTATACGTCTGGGAAACGCGTTAATCGTTAGTTATGTTGGTTTTGTAAAAATATTACGCAACTCTACTGCTAAAATTATGTAGCCATGTTGGAATTGGAGCCGATGGAATAGCAAGCGAAATGCAAGACATGTCGGTGCCAAAGGTTTCGTGTGAAGTCTCTATACTTTGATTATAATATCACTTAATAGTACGAGTAAAAATGTTGCGTACGCGCCTAAACGTTAGGTGTTTTTGGTTGGTTGTTGTATCATATTCCTTCAGGTCTGCAATCGGAAAACCCATTCGGCTCTTTCCGTCATTCCTAGAAAAGAGTATTTTCTATTCAGTTGAATGGTCCGAGGGTTCCCGATTGTCAGGTCTTTTCGCATCGTTCTAGATCTATTACCTTATTTTAACGGAGTATAGAGACAAGTGCTACACCACCGGGCGCATCTGTCACAAAAATATGTGGAAAATCCAACCCAGCTCTACTCTCGTAAACTTCAACAACACACGACAATTGCATTCACGACATCTATGAATAATTAACCCAGTCATATGGAGGGAGCGTGTGATATGCTACACGTGCTACTGAATTTGTATGACATATATAAATGAACACGTCGGTGTTAGAAATTATCCGTTATTTCAATGTTAACTATGTGTAAATGCTTACAAGCATATATTTTGAAATTAACAAAACATCAACCGGTAACTATGGCATGAGTTTTCTCTTTGATTTACAGCTAATCAATATAAATTCGATTTGCCTCGTTTCTCGCATCTCTCTATCTCAATTATTTGCGCCCTCTGACAATACAATTTTCATCCCAACTCACGTCCTCGTTTTCATTGCTGTATCCCTCGCTACTTCCCTCTGTATCCTTCATACACAATGACAAACATCAACATTACAAATAATAACAGTGTATGCGTTGTTTTATTAGATCAGTGTTCAAACATATAAGGTTATTCACAAATGGTATTAGTTACATTTTAGACACAAGTTAATGATTGAATTAGTATGACATATATGAATAAATACGCCTGTGTTCGAAATTATTATAAGCCGTTATTTAAATGTTAATTATGTGTAAATGTCTACACAAATATATTTTGATATTAATAAAACATGATAAACATCTCGCTATCTCATTTGCTCTGCCTCTCTCCTTCCTCGCCCACTCTGTCAGTAGAATTATCACCATTCGCAAAACAGCGTCTTCGATTTTATTATGTTTTAATCCTCCCTACTTCCCTCCGTATCCTTCATATATCATACTCGATGACAAACATCAAAATTGCAAGTAATAATACAGGCTATACGTTGTTTTTTTAGAACATGGTTCAAACATAATATGGTTATTCACAAATGGTATTAGTTACATTTGAGACAAAAGTTACACATTTCTTTAATGCTCACACATTGGGTACTCATTAAAAACACAACGGGGGGCTTTGGATGCTCACTTAAGCGGTTTCAGAGCTTTCACAAGCAATTCGTAGTTCAGCCTCACCCTGGCAGAAGGCTGTAGGAGTTGAGTTGTATTCGTTGGGATTCCACACCTGTCCCAGTCGATGTGTGCGAGTGCGCTCCGCGTGTTTCACAGAGTCAAGCTGCTCTTACATGTGGGTCTCAAGGTTCGAGATGTACATTCTGCTTACATCTCATTCGCATCATAGGGGTGTCTTCAGAGCGAAAGCGTAACTTGTAATGTTATATTTGAATGATTGTTTCCTCGTGTGATTCTCATGTGTTGTTTTCACATGACTCATACAGGAGAAGGCGCAGCATCACACAGATTACACTTATATGGTTTCTATCCCGTGTGCGTTCTCATGTGTCTCTTCACCTGATTCGAGTGTGAGAAGGCAGCATCACACAGATCGCATTTATACGGTTTCTCTCCCGTGTGCGTTCTCATATGTCTCTTCGCAGCCCCTAACTCCGAGAAGGCAGCCTCACACAGATCGCACTTATACGGTTTCTCTCTCGTGTGCCTTCTCATGTGTCTCTTCACATTATGCGAGCGTGAGAAGGCAGCATCACACAGATCGCACTTATACGGTTTCTCTCCCGTGTGCGTTCTCATGTGTCTCTTCGCAGCCCCTAACTGCGAGAAGGCAGCATCACACAGATCGCACTTATACGGTTTCTCTCCCTCGTGTGCGTCTCATGCTCACTCGCAGCCCCTAACTGCGAGAAGGCAGCATCACACAGATCGCACTTATACGGTTTCTCTCCCTCGTGAGTTCTCATGTGTGTCTTCGCATTAGACGATTGTGTAAAGGTAGCATCACACAGCTCACACTTATACGGTTTCTCTCCCGTGTGAGTTCTCATGTGTGACTTCACAGTCACTAACTGCGAGAAGGCAGCATCACACAGATCGCACTTATACGGTTTCTCTCCCGTGTGAGTTCTCATGTGTGTCTTCAGACTACTCAGACATGAAAAGGCAGCATCACACAGATCGCACTTATACGGTTGTTTCTCTCCCGTGTGCGTTCTCATGTGTGTCTTCACACTACTCAGACATGAGAAGGCAGCATCACACAGATCGCACTTATATGGTTTCTCTCCTGTGTGCATTCTCATGTGTGTCTTCACACTACTCAGACGTGAGAAGGCAGCATCACACAGATCGCACTTATATGGTTTCTCTCCCGTGTGAGTTCTCATGTGTCTCTTCACCTCAAATGAATCTGAGAATGCGGCTTGACACAGATCGCACTTATATGGTTTCTCTCCCCTGTGTGTTCTCATGTGTCTCTTCACACTACTCAAATTGGAAAAGACAGTATCACACAGTTCGCACTCATATGGTTTTCCCCCGGAATTAATTCTCACGTATTCCATCGTGCTTCAGGGAAAGCTGCCACGTTCTGGTCACAGACGTCAAGTATCTACTCTGTCCGTCGCTCAGGTTACGTCCTCGTATTTTGCTTCGGAGACGGTCTCGTCACACTAACACTCGTATAATTAACGTCCTATCTAGGTTCTCCTCAAAATTGCTAAAGAAAATACAAATAACTCTGTATTGAAAGCCGCGTTACGGGGGTAGAAATTAACTTTTGAACGCGGGAGCCCAACGGACTCCCTACCCTCAAAAAGAAGAAGTTCGCAACAAAATGAGGGAGTCCGCAGTCTGGGGTTCAAAATTAAAGATATTAACAGTAACGCATGTGCTTATCTTTAAGATTCATGTGATTGCACGTTTGCCAAATTTAGACATTTGCTGAAAAAATACGGTAATTCCGCGAGGCCGTGCTCTGGAACGAACTAGTTAGTATGGCAGAATTTTCAGGTAGTCACACGGACTCCTGCATATGTCAAATCACGGCACCGTGCCGACAGTAAATCAGGGAGTATTAGACTCCGGACTCCCGTTAATTTCGCACCCTGCGTGTTGAGCAAACCTCCAAAGCAGAACAACGTCGAATAGAATTTTGAATGCCGAGATGAAAAACAAGAGTACGTGTCTATATGAAATTTTGACATGAAATACAAGTACGTGTTTAGCAAAATTTGGACGCAAAACAATAGTGTGTACCGGAATATAGTGTGTCAATAGCGTGTCCAGTCGGACGCTGAACCACTCACAGAAGAGATATTGTACAACCAAGAAAGAATTGTTAGCAGTACCACCATTATCTATGGGGAAGACCCTTTAAGATAAGAACCGATCATACATCGTTGACTTGGTTGGTCAATTTCAAGAACCCGGAGGGGATGGTCACAAGCACTTGGACCGTTTCAATAATAAAATGATGGTTAATAAATACAACTTGTCAGTACTACTACTAGCCCTACCAGTACCAGTACCAGCAATAGTCTTAATGTTTGATATAACTTCACTTCAACACCGTCCAATACACCGCTGCAACACATAGCCCGCACGCCATTGTGCATGCACAGATACACAGTAGGTTATTTGTCAAACAGTGTCAATTATCAGTCAACATTATCTATGATGCATCGTTACATCGTATACATCGTTGACTTGGTTGGTCAATTTCAAGAACCCGGAGGGGATGGTAGCACGATGGATAGCATTATTAGATACGTACGACTTTGAAATTGAGCACCGGAAAGGACAGCATCACCAGAATGCGGATGCGTTGTCACGTAAGACAGTAGGGAAATGACCTAAAGAGAACTGCCCAGATAGCAGGCATGGAATGATGGGAGAGGATGCCCGACCAGCGATAGAGATGCACTCTGGGGAAGAGGAAACGCACGTTCATGAGGAAAGTGGTTCATGAGGAGAAGAGGAAAGTGATAGAGATGAACCACCCAGCTGCAGTGGGGGAAGAGAGGATTCTACATGGAGAGATAAACCACCCAGCTGCAGTGGGGGAAGAGAGGATTCTACATGGAGAGATGAACCACCCAGTCGTAATGGGAGGAGAGGATTCTACATGGAGAGATAAACCACCCAGCTGCAG